CTCTCTCTCTCAGTATTCAGTTGCCTTCTGGGATTTGTGATCGGGCTGATATTCGTCCAGCGCTGTGGAAATTATTTTGTCACGATGTTTGATGATTACTCCGCCACGCTGCCCCTCATCATTGTCGTGATCTTCGAAACCTTCAGTGTGGCCTGGATGTACGGCGCTGACCGGTAAGGCTGACTCTGTCTCTACATCGACAAGACAGATTACACCAGGGTCGCTCAATCAATCACAGAGAATCTGTGCCTGAACTACACAAGGGTTCACCAGGGTTGACCAATCAATCACAGAGAATCTGTGCATGAACTACACAAGGGTTCACCAGGGTTGCCCAATCAATCACAGAGAATCTGTACAAGAACTACACAAGGGTTCACCAGGGTTGCCCAATCAATCACAGAGAATCTGTGCCTGAACTACACAAGGGTTCACCAGGGTTGCCCAATCAATCACAGAGAAACTACACAAGGGTTCACTGATACCGGTGATTGCCTGTCCCAGGCAATTGATTGCCTGTCCCAGCAAGCAACATGCTCAAGGGTACACCTTGGATGGGACACCAGTTCATCACAGGGCAGACAGACACGCTCATATCTAGAACTCGTATGTTTTCCCAGAAGCACCCCTGAGCTCACCCAGCCCTCTCCCCCTCCCCTCTGTGCCCCTCGGCAGGTTCATGGACGACATCGAGGTGATGCTGCAGTGGCGCCCCCCAGTGGTGTACAAGTACCTGTGGCAGTTCATCTGCCCACTGGCCATGGTCGGCCTGCTGCTGGCCAGCTTGATCAACATGGTCCTCAAGCACCCCACCTACAAGTCCTGGAACCAGCAGAAGGTGAGATCCTGATCGTCAGAGGGGAGCTTGTCCCCCACCCCCACCCCCCTCTGTGTACAGAAAAGCCCCCTGTCCCTCACTGGAGGAGCTCTTCCAGCTGTGTCTGGAGAGAAGCCAGGGTATCGGCTTCAACCACAGGGCTGGGCAGCTTGTTCCCCACCCCCACC